GGCAGTGGGTGGCACCGCGCTTCTCCCTTCGGCTTCTGCTCCGGGAGCGCCTCATTATTGCTGTCCTGGTTCTCCCGGCCTTGCTTTTGTTGCGTGCCTTTCACAGAAGCTCTGCGTTACCTTTGCCAACTGCCCCGTCCTGGGGGCGAGAGGCGCCGCCGGCGGGTGCCGAGCCCGCACGGGCCCTGCCTGCCGGGGCACACGCGGCCTCCCCGCCCAGCGCCCGGCCCGCAGCAGCGGCCCCAGAGCCTCCGAGCTCGGCCCTTTGCCGGCGCTGCTGGCGGGGACGGGGCTTGGGCCAGGCCGGCGGCTCTGCGCCACGCCGGGCCTGTCCCCTTGTGGGCGATGCCCAGAGCAAGGGGGGCCTGGCCCCAGCCACGTCCCCATGCACATCCYCGTCCCCATCCCGTGGGTCTCGCTTCTGGGGGACAGCAGGATGACTCGCTCCGGCCTCTCCTCAGCGCCAGCCAAGCCTCTCCCAGAAAAGATGGGAAGCGGAGCTCAGGTTTTCGCCGTGCGCCGGAGGTCGGTTGCTGCCAGGCTGGTTCCTCCCTGAGGGGAAAGCCTGTTAGAAAGCAGCTCTGCGGCAGCCGAACCATTGGCTAGACCGAGCCCTGCGTGAAAGCAGGGTGTCTCTCACGCCGCAGCTCATGCAGACGGCTGCGTCGCCGCATGCAGCGATCGCTGCGCGGTAGCAACGTGTGGCGGCCAGTGCTGCCCGCCTCGCGCCTCGGAGGGCAGGGGCAGCCAGACACCTGCTCCTTGCGGCCTCCTTCTCCTGGGCAGCCCCGGGAAGGGTGCAAGACATCCTGCCGCAGGGGGCACGGCCAGGGCCGCGGTCCCGTCCCCGCGGCCGGGGCTCGTGCGGCGCCCTGGGTCCCATGGGCGGCGAGGGAGGCGCTGCCTGCAGGCCGGGGGGCCTCCCGCCGCTCTAGGGTGAGGCTCCAGCAGTAGGATCCATGAGATTTCAGGGACCGGCTTGCTGGATAGCTGCTAGCTCCCTAGCGAGCGCTGCAATCCGCGCTCTCCCCCGGAGRCGCCGAGGGGCGGCCGCTGAAACGCCCCTGCGAGCGGCTTCGTGATCTGCCTGGATCGAGGAAATAGAAATGTTGCATTGGTGAAATTCAGTGTGCGTCCTGCAAGTCATAATCACAGGCAAGGCTGGAAAATGGCTCCGCGCGTGTTTGAGCTGCTGGTTCTTTTCCGCCTTCCTTGCATATGGATGCTCTGTGCTGCGGGTGCAGAATGTAAATGACTGGGCAGCTCCGTGAATTTCAGGCATTGGTACAAAAACGTCCTTGCAGCTTTTCACACTTCCCCTCAAATTGAGAATGGATTTTCCTGGCTGCTGATTAACCAGAAAGGAGTTGCTCCTTACTAGGTTGAGGGGAGAAGAGTTCTCTAATACCGGGTTAGGGAGAAGAGTGAGCGGCTTCAGCCTAATTCAACTAGTCTCCCATTTGTAATCTCCAAGGAAACAGCTGAGTTGAATGTTAATTAAACAGCAGTCTTTGATCCACCCAGCCACTCCTGGGGGCATAATAACAACACATAAGCGCTCACACAGCAGCTACATAATAGGTGCGTTTAAAGGGGTGCATCAAACCTGGTCTTACTGACGCTGAGCACGTTTCTCGCTGACCTGCTCCTGTGGTGGTTAAGCAGGGGAAGGGAAGGCAGGGGAGCAGGGCAGAGCCTAAGTTTCCATAGGTGGGAAGCACAGGGGTCTGCTCTGAGGCTGCGTAAGGGTTAATGATTAGGAGAGTGGAATCAGGAAAGACCTTAAGCCCAGATCTATGGCGGTGGTAATTGAGCTGATTGATTACGACATCTCGTTTGAGACGACTATTGATTTAATCCAGTCTGCAGCCCTGCTGGCCCCAAAGGTGCTCCGAGCGAGCGAGGGAGGCCCGGCCCTTGAACCTGGCTGCTCTTCCCTGCTCGCCCTCCATCCGTCCGTCCGGGTGCGCATCTCCCGAATGCGCAGCCATTCGTAATGCTCCCTCCGCTCGTGCCTTCATTTGAGCGCTCCTGAATGCAGCAGGCGAATGGTGCTTTTAGCCATGGAGGGCGCAGGTGCCTGCAGGGAAATGGAGATGGCTCCGGCTGAGGACGGCTGGTCTTTTCCCTAAAAATATATGGATAAAGGCGAGGCGGGGAGCCGGGGCTTGGCGGCTGCTATCTGCATGTGTCGCTTCGGGCCCGCCGCACCGTGCAGGCTGCTCCTGGGCGCAGCCGGGCTCGCAGCACGCAGGTCGCGCCGCGCGCGCGTTCAATTATTAAAATAGTAGAGGGTTTTTTTTCTGTCTGATAGCCATAGCGAGGTCACGACATTAATTTATCCAGGGTATTGTGGGTAACGGTACAGAGAGGAGAAAAAAGAAAAAGAAAGAAAAAAAACATAAAGGGGAGAGATGCTGGAGCAGCAAAACACGGATGGGTCTGAGCAAAAGGAGATTAAGAGGCGATGCCCAGTCTCATGTATGGGGAGCAGCAAGAAGCCGGCATCCGTCACAGGCTGTGGATGGCAATAAGCATTGTGAGGCGTGCTGGGCGTGTGTGAATTTTCCTCTGTTTCGATGTACCGCGGTGCTGCAGGCTAAGCCGATCGCTGCAGCCCCGCGTGTTTGCAGTTCCCCCAGCGTGGCTGCAGCCTGGCTTTTGTTGCCTCATGCTTGGCGCTCTGCTCTCCGTGCGTGGGCGTGTGTCTGTCTCCCTCTTCCCCTTCCTCCCAGACGCCAAACTTAACYGTTTCCTGATCCCCCCGCGTTTTGCCTGCCTGTTTCCCCGTGCCGCTTCCCTTCCCTCGGAGGCGACAGAGGACAAAGGAGCGCGGCAGGGGACGCACGCGGCAGCCAGYGCGCGCCGCGGTGCCGGCCTCGCGGCTGCCGCCTTGGTGCTTTCCCTGGTGCCCCACGGCGGGATGTGCATCCCCAGCCTGCCTGTATTCCATGTGCCTCCGCCTGCAGAGCCTCGCTATGCTGGCCCGGAGTGAGTGCCCTGGAGGTGGATACAGGCGTGCGGCTCCAACAGGCGCTGCAGGGTTTTGTGCCCGGCTGTATGTGTGTGTGTGTGCACGTGAGTGTTGCCATTGTTCTCTGGCACCGCTCTCTCTGACACAACCTGCTCCTGTTTCTTAATTATGAAATCTAAAACATCATCATCATCCTAAAAAGACCAGGTCCAATTGGAGACCGACTGAGGTCCAGAGATTTATGATTTCAGCACGGGGACCGGTGATTCAGCCCCTGGCGGTGTTTTGGCTCCGAGACAATTCCTGCTTATAGAGAGCGCAGTGAATGGGGGGGAAATAAAAAGAACAACGTTAATTTTGAGTAAGATGAATAGTACTCTTTCTTACTGTCCATTATTTTAAAAGAAATGAGTCCTCRTCGCCTTTGAGAGCTAGGGCGTCCTTCCCACCGGTATTTATTGAAGCAAAGGGAAGAGCGAGGCAGGCGTAGGATAAACTCGCAGGGCCGCTCCGGAATTGCTGGCATTATTTCTGTCGGCATCACGTGTGAGCCCGGGCTGCCCGCGATTCCTGAGGCAGAGGATCGAGGATGAAAGCCGGTGTGTCAGAGCCTGTTTCCACAACTGCATTCGGAGATCTGTCTTATTGATTAGGAAAAAAAGGGGGTGGGAATAGGAGCGTGAGGTGAGGGGAGGACCGACCGACTACTGGCTTATTGCAGCTCAAGACATTTTCTTCCGGAAAGATGTCAAACAACTGAGACACCGCCACAGAGGAAGTGGAAAGGTGGAAAAATAAGAAGAGGGGACCCTTTGGAAGAAATGAAGGCATTTCTTATGACAGCCTAGAGGCTTTTTAAAAAAAAAATCTTTTTTTTTTAATCCTTTTTTCTTTTTTTTTTCTTTTTTTTTTTTTTTTTTTTCTAACGTGGGACCCACGCGGTTGGCGTGACAGCGCCGCGCAGTGCTGCGGCCCCGCAGGTCTGGGATAGGGGATGGGATGGGACGGGACGGGACGGGATGAGGGGCCGGGCGGTGCCGGGAGGCGCCGGGCGCTGCCGGCGGGCGCCGCTCCAGCCGCCGGGGCCGG